CCGTCTATATTTTTTATTTAGAATATATAGAAGGTAATAAAATGCTTTAGCTGACATTTTATCTCATGAATTATGTAGGAAATAAATGTGGACATAGAAAGTATGGAAACCTATGAAGTATCCAGCGATTCTAAAGAAAAACTTAGTTCAGATTTAAATAACTATTTAGAAATAGTTGAATTACAAATTTGGAAAATAGAATGTGAAATAGCTCTTGTCAGCAATGTTCTAAAAAAATTAAGAAAATTAAAGAATTATTTGACAGAAGAAGTACCAAAAGGAGATCTACCTTCGATTTCAGAATTAAAGAAGATAGGAGATTTTGCTAATCTACATATATGCAGAAAAGAGTCCAAGGGAAATGCCTCTTTGGAAAAAGATAAAAAATTACTATAAAAGAAGAGGCTTCATCCTCTAAAAATGCACCTACTTATGCAAAAATATTGCAAGATACCACTAAGAGAATTACAAATATTTTTGAAGAATGGTAGCAATTATCATTATATGAGGAAAAAAATAATCCTTAAATTTATTTTCACACAGTGAGAAAATATCAAGTTGTCTTCATTATGAAAACACTGGTTCAAAACTCGTATCATAATTGTATAAATGTTGATTAATCCGAATGATGTATCTAGAGGATGAAAATCTCCTCAAAGAATTACCAAAGTCTATAATTGAAGCTGTAGATGTCCTTCATCAGGTAGTTGAACATTGGAATTTCTATATAAAAAAGTATCAAACTTATCCAAAATTAAGAGGAGTTGTATCTCTTATAGAACTTCGAATTAACAGTGAACCTTACACTCCAAAATATTAACTCCTCTCACTTTGGTGATGGTGTGGGCACAGTTAATTGAACTTTTGTGGACTGTGAGGTGTGGGGAAATGTGTTTTGGTTTGAGCTGAAATTTTGAACTCAAATTTGAGCTCTCGCAGAGGGAACCAGAGGGGGAAAACAGTGGGATTGAGCTGAGGAGTTCTTAGAGGGTCTCTGGAAGCAATTGGACAGAGTTTCCACAAGGATTTTGCTGACTCTCTCCTATGGCCGTGGAGGGGGTGGTTTAAATAAAGGAGGCTATGGTGGCTCTCAGGCCAAGCTGAGGTGGCTAGGGTGTTGCCTAGGTGGAGGGAAGAGATACCCTAACAGCCAATCAAGCTTACCTAGCTCAGGTGAGTTCAATTTTGGGTTTTGGCCAACTTGGGCTCCTTTGGGGTGATTATTTTCGGTGGCTAAGGTGGTATCTGGCCAGGTTTCAATCATTTCTTGGCTCAGTGAGGCGGGGGGGGTGGCTAATGATGGTTAACCCCTAATGGTATGGCATGATGGAGAAGATATTTCAAGTTTAGGCCAAAAATGGGTAAAATCCCTTAAATCAAGGGACCATTGGCCCATCCATGGCTTCCATAGGGTGGGCTAGGTGGGGCTAACCTGATCCCTAGGATCCATTTGGTGGTTGTGGTGTCATTAATTTGGTTACTTAGGAATGGTTTAGTCAATTTTGGTGCATAGGTTTAATTTGGGTTGCATTGTCTTAAAGTTGGGTTTGGGTTAGGCTAGCCATGACATTGAGCCCAATTTATTGATCAATTTTTTTGTGGATGATTGTCACAAAGAGTTTAGAAAAGGTTTGGAGTGATTTTGAATTGATTTGTAGGTTCAATTTGAAGGAATTTGGACATTTGGTCAATTTGGGGATGTTGGGTTAAACTTGTGTTTAATTTAGGCTAGAGTTGGGCTAAGTCCAAATTGAGAGTTTAAAATGGTCTAGAGGGATTGATGAAGAGTTTTCAACAATAACTGGATGTCAATTTTAAGATTTGGTCATTCAATTTGGTGGAATTTGGCACATGACTAAATTGGGGCAAATTGGGGGTTTTGGATTTGAGTTGAAATTGGGCGAAATTGAAGCTTGACCAAGGTTAATTGAGGGTTCAATTTAATGTGTGGATATGTTTCAAAGAGTTTATAATGCATAATTGGGGCACTTGGAAGAATTTGGGGGTTCTGTTGAGTGGGATTTTTGTTTTAGGCCAAATTGGGGCTTTTTGATTTGGGTTGAAACTAGACTCAAATGTGGGTCAATTGGACTTAGATTTGGTTTAAATTAAGTTTTCTCATGATGAATTTGAATTTAGAATTAAAATTTGGTGGATTGGGGTCAAATTGATGGACATTTAGGGTGAATTTGGGAAAATTGGGATTTTAAGGGCAATTTGAGGCTTTTGGTCAAAGTTGGTCAAATTGATCAAATTAGGTTCAATTGAATGGTCTAAATTGGTTTTTGGGAGATTTGAAATGATTTTGATGGTTTCGGGAAAATTTGGGCCACCAAGGGTATTTTTGTAATTTTGGCAAATTTGGGGTTATTTTGGTAATTTTGGCAATTTTGAGAAGTTTCAAATGGTTTGAGATGATTTTTGGACAAATTTGAGTAGTTTGTGTAATTTTTGAAAATTTGGTCAAATTTTAGATTTGAGGGTGTTTTGGTAAATTGGGTAGATTTGGGGCAAATGGCTAACTTTGGTATATTGGTGAAAGTGATGTGTCAACCACCCTTTTTGAGTTATGGAACAATAAAATCTCAATTTGGGTCCTCCATGTACTTGTCTTATCTAGACCTTAGCCTAGGGCTACTGGGTCTAGGGGACCATCTCCATGAATCTCCCAAAAGATCAAGGGATCAATGTCAACAAATTTGGGTTTAGAGTTGTGAGTGGGATGTGAGTGAAAGTAAGTGTAAGTGAGGAACTAGCTCCAGACCAATACCTAGGGTCAATCCTAAGGCCAAGCAGTCCTATGGGCATGCCCCTTGAGCTCCCCCATGTTGACCCCACCTACTAAGTGTTAGAGGTTATTAGAGTTTATGACCAATATGTGGAACTTTAAGTTGAGCAAAGAAGAGTTTAGAATTTCTAATGGTGAGGGTCCTTTTTGTTGTAGTCATCTAGGAATGGTCAACAAGAAAGTCCTATGCTAAGGAATTATTATTCCAGCAATCTACTGTTGAAGATCTATATAAGATTTGGTTAGAAACTAAGAAAATAGATGCCACAAATATTTGGGTTTATTATTCGTCAGAATAATTATTTATTTACAGTCATGCAAACAACCCATGAAAAAAGTGCACGAAGTTATGTATAAAAGTGAATTGCTACACTTAGTCGAAATAATGTTGCAGTAAGCAAAGAAGTTAAAGAATTATTTTGAGAGAAACTAAAAGAGAAAAGATACACAAATGTATGTATTGTCAGAAGAAAGATATCATATAGAAAATACAGTTTAAACTTGAGAAAAGGTTCAGCGGAGTACAAATGCAAACAAAAGAAAATTAATGCGGAGGAATACTCTTAGAATTATCATCCACTATCGACAAAAACTCTAATTAGAGCATTTTTTCAACTCAAAATATCAACCACCGATGACAGTGCAGAAGAATATTTCTAGAATTATTCCCCTCTATCATGAGAAAACAAAATTATTAAAGCATATTTACAAACAACAATGACAATAATTAGAGCCACTTTACAGCTTGAATTATTCCTCAAGGACAATAATTAGAGTCACCTTACAGCTCGAATTATTCCTGAATTAAGATGACAGTTGTTCTATTTAATGGGGACTTCTATAATATTGGAGATCAACTTCTTCTTTATGTTCTTTCTTCTCATCTTATTCTCCCTTTGTTGTAATATAATGTTTGTAAGCCACAACGGCTAAATATTATCTTCCTGCTCAATGTCTGTCAGTTTGTTTTTAATACAATATTATCTTCCTGCTCAATGTCTGTCAGTTTCTTTTAATGTACTAATGATTATTATGATTCTACTGGTTTGTTTAAATCTATGTTTTATTTTGTCTTGATTATTATCTTTTCTAGCTACACATAGGGTAGGAAACGAACTAATACTTTGCTTTAAATCTCTAAAATACTTACATAAGGTTGTGGTCTGTTAAGGACCTTGAGTGTCTTATTCAATCTTAACTTTCTCTAAAAAACAATAGGGAAGATGTAAGATGAACTAGAGATTCTAAGGTCAAACCCTAGAACAGTAAGATATCAAAACAGGATATCTTAAACATTCTTTCGAAAGCGTAATGGACCCTTATACTTTAAAAACAATTTGATGACAGATGAGTAACAAGAATTTATTAATTATGGAAGAAGAAATAAAAAAGTTTGACATAGGATTAAGATAATTAAAAAAGATCTAAGAAACGAACTTAGAGAAATTGAAGAATTACAATATAAATTAGAAAATAATCAAACTTTAGTAAATTTGAATTGTAGAACACTAAAGATCAATAGTCAATCTTTATTTTGACGTGCGCGCTCAGACACACTCACACTCATATATATATATATATATATATATATATTATTTTTTTTTTTGAAATTCTATAATTTTCAAATTACAATAACCAACCCACAAACAATGCTATAGCATTGTTGTAGAAACTGGTCTAATGGAACCAAACTGACTCGTGCATTGACTTAAGCTCAGCTAGATAAGTGGCCCAAGCCAGCCCTGACTTGATTCGGCTCGTGAGCTCGGTTAAAAAAACATTAATGTAAATCTACTTAAAATATATTAAATTTCACAATTTTATCTTTAAAATATTAAAAATATCATGAAAAATAATTTTTATATTTTATATTAGATAATTCTTATTATTTATCTCATAATTATTCATTCAATTTGTCATCTTATGATAATGCTAGCTTACATTAATATTATTTTCTCTTTTTTAATAAACGAGTCTGCTTATGAGTCGGCTTGAACTCAAGCCAAAAGATGCTCGAGCTCGACAGTAACTCTTTTACACCCCTACAATAAATAGCTAGAAGCATGACATAGTCCAACTCAAAACACAATTGAGTATTTGATTGTCCTTCGATGAAAGGCATAACAAGATGTCTTACAATCTCGGAAAGACCAAGAAAAACAGGTAACTATAAACTCCAAAGGAACGAAAAACCCAATATAAAAATTCTTAACAAATAAAATACTTCAAATGGAAAGCTAAATATCAATGTCAACCATGTACAATGCTATATTTGAGCATTTCAAGTAATACATTATTGCAAACTAATAAAACAAAGTTGAGCGGACTTTAGACAAAGCTGGGTTGGAAAAATGAAGTAAAAAAGATTTTCATTCCTTTTTCCCGATCCCATTAGACATGTTATAAATTCCACGCCCCTGTTTTACCGAATACGATAAATTTATTAACAAGGAGATCATAAAATAAATAATAAAAAAATAAGAAATTGTTCTAGCATTCTGGAATAACTTACAATCAGAAATAAGGATGAGGCAGCCAGTGCTAGAGGTATACCAACAGACGTTATTGCATCATAACGCCCCTTCAGGTAAGTATGCTTATGAGCGTTCTGGAAATACTGCTGCAGCTGGTAAAGCCTCTCCCTCGGCAAAAAAGGTTCCTCTGACATCCTGAACCACGAAAAAGTTATAATTTGAGTCGCAGTTGAGGTTCTGACCAACTGGAACTCAGAAATTTCTGCCCAATTGCACTGATTACAGTAGGTAATTGTAGCAGTGAGCATTCCATTGCTTTGAATGGTTTGGTTTTCAAATTGTACAAAACCAATTATAACTAAAATCCAAAATCTTAAAATCCAAACCATCCAAAATTTTGATAAAATTGAACCAAGCGAAAAGATTTAAATAGTCCAATTATGAACATACCGAAATTTATTTATTAGTTTAAGTTGGGTTATGCACAAACATCAAGAATGACATATCATACATGTATATTATCCATTTAATTTCAAATATTCATTTTTTCAATCTGTTTGATTAAATGAAAATTAAAACTGAACTAATAAATAAAAACTGAATATTGAGATTTTAAAAATCAAAAATTAAATACATATTTTAAAACAAACTGAATCAACCATTTTTTTTTTGGTTCGGTTCGGCTTTTTGGTTTTTGACCAAATAATGACACCTCTAGGTAATAGGGAAGCCTTGCTCAAGTAACAAATTGGCCAATAACCTCAAGAAGAAGCTCTCAAAGACAATTAAGTGAAAAGTTACATGTAAGGGTGACGACGAGTATGCTCTCCATTTCTGCCACTACAGCATTTGGCAACAAATATTACATATTCAAGTCGTTGTTTTAACTCTTCTACACTCAAGTTGCTTAGTCTGAGGCTGGAAATTATGTTTTATGTACGCCATGAACCTCACCTTTTGATATTTTAATGTTAATTATCATTAATTTTTATGAGCTCTTAAACTTTTGGATTTCAAGGAAAAAGAAAATGTAATTTAACGCAGTCCAACCCACTATAGATGCAAGCCAAGCAGTAAAGGCGATTGTAATATTTATATTCATGTTTATGTCATCTTTATGCTACATAGTCCTGCCAACGTTTTTCAAGTTTATGTGTTCCTATTCACTAATTTTAAGTTCGCTTGTGTTGATCATATACTAAAGATTCCCCTCCTACAAAAAAGTGCAAGAAGGAACTTGCGAGGATCAGCTGACAAATGAACCAATTTCACAAATTCCAATTAGTAAAAGACACTTTCACCTGGTCTTACGTACATTTTGTTAGAAGTTATACATCAATATATAAGAGATTTTCCTCCAACCCAATTTCATTGAAATTCTACTGATTTTGTGGAAATTCCTTACATCCTTGTTGGCAAGTCCATAGGATGCATGAACACTTATAAATGCCCTCCATGACAATGTAAGGGGCAAATACTGCTCCGACACACCGTGATAAGTGTTCGAAACGTTCAAACTGTGTTGAGTTTATTCAAAAGAAAAATTTTCTTTTGTTATGGGTTGTACATGGGGTGCACAAGCCTCAACATGCCTAAGACATGTATGGATATAGAAGTCTAAGATGGACAAAGAAATTTAAGAAAAAAACTGTCATGCCCGAGCACATCTCAAGCCCGGAAGTAAAAAGTAGAGGGTTGCGTTATGTAGTCGATAACCAGCGTAAAACTTGTCGAAATAAAATCAAGACATGAATCCTTTTGAATATTGTGTAAGTGATAGGGCGTCCCCTAGAAGCAACACGCTGTATGACCTAAATACAGTAATAGGTGTGCAAGGGCCGCTTCACGGGCGCCGGGGCGTAGTATAAAATAAGCAAGGGTTCCCACATTACGGGCGGATGCGAGTAAATAAGTTAGTCATGAAACTAATGAATCTAGTATTATGATAAGATCTTAGAATATAGATACTCTCAATAGGAAATTAATGGAATTGGTTGATATTATGATGAATAGAAAGATTAATATCTTATGTATTCAAGAAACTAAATGGGTTGGAGAAAAAGCTAAGGAGATTAATAACTTAAGTTTTAAACTTTGGTATTTAGGAAGAGTCGCACTAGAAATAGTGTTGGTGTTATTATAGATAAGAGTATGAAAGATAATGTTGTAAAAATTAATAGAATTGGAGATAGAATTATAACCTTAAGATTATTATTGATACTAAGATTTTTAATATTATAAGTGCTTATGCTTCTTACATAGGTTTAGATATAGAGTCTAAAGATAAATTCTGGAATGACTTAGAAGATTTAATAAAAATGATACCTCTTGAAAAAAGAGCTTTTATTGGAGATCTAAATGGACATGTCAATAGAGTGGTAGAAATTTTCAGAAATATTCATGGTGGCTACGGTTTTGGAGTGACCAATGAAAAAGGTAGAGTCATTTTAGATTTTGCTTTAACGTACGATTTTGTTATTACTAATATTTTATTCAAGAAAAGAGATGGGCATCTTATTGCTTACAAGAATGGATGTAATAAAACACAAATTGAATATTTTCTTATGAGAAGAAGAGACCGAAAAAATTGTAAAGATTGTAAGGTCATTCCAACTGAGGATTTAATTACCCAAAATCGATTAGTAGTCTCTAGATTTTAAGATGAAGAGTTGTAAAATAAAGAATACTATGACATATCATCGTAAATTTAGATGGGGGAAACCTAAAAGGCACAAATAAATTTATTTTTATGAAAATTCAAGATTTTAATATTTGGGATATTCATACAGAAGCGAATGTTATGTGGGATAAAGTAACAAAAGCTATTAAACAAGTAGCAAAAGATGTACTTGAAAAATCAAAAAAAAAGTTTCTATAAATAAAAATTTTTGTTGAAATAATAATGTGCAAGAAAAGATAAAATATAAGAAGACATGTTATAATGTTCTGTCTTGCACTCAAGCCCATAAGCATTTCAACCCAAAACCAGCAATCAAATTGAATCTGTTAATCAAAATTGACGTAACCTTCGATGGCTCGTGGGTGATCAATTTCAGCAAATGGGATATGATTTCCAATAAATGAATTTATTCATAATAGTTTAAAGCATTATACGACAAGAAAGGCATCATTTCACACTATTCATAGAAGCACTCGGAAAAAAATTGTAAACCTTCCGACTTACCTTTACATACTGCATTTTTTATTTGCTTATAAGTTTGGTTAAGCTAGGCGTCCCCTCAAAATAAAATATTATATGGTTTGAATATGGTTTCAAGAGTTGTTATATTAACGCCTAGGTGTAGCGCTAAGTAAATATAAGTTCCTACATTATGAGAGAATGCAAACAAAGTAGTTTATGAAACTAATATTACGATATAAACTTGTAATATAGATACTCTCAAGCTAGATTAATGAAATTAGTAGATATTAGGATTCATAAGAGAATAAATATCTTATACATCTAAGACTAAATAGATTTGAGAAGGCTAAAGATATTGATAACTTAAGTTCTAAATTTTGGTATTTAAGTAGAAATCGTACTAGAAATGGTGTTTGTGTCATTATATATAAGAGTTTGAAAGATAATATTGTAAAAAACAAGAGAATTTGAGATAGAATTATAGTCCAAAGGATTTTTGTTGATACTAAGATTTTTAATGTTATAAGTGTTTATGCTCCTCAAGTAGGTTTAGATATATGTTAAAAAAATTATGAAATTACCTTAAAATAATAATAAAATAATACATCTTGAAGAAACAATTTTTATTGAAAAAAATTTAAATGAACATGTTCGTAGAGTAATATAAAATTTTAGAAATATTCACGGTGGCTGCGATTTTGGAGTGATTAATGAAGAAAGTAGTCATATTAGATTTTGTTGTAGCTTATGATTTTGTCATTACTAACATTTTATTTATGAAAAGAGATAAGCATATTATCACTTATAAAAATGAATCTAACCAAATATAAATTAATTATTTTCTTATTTAAAAAAGAAATTGTCGATATTATATATATTGTATGGCCATTCTAAGTGAAAAATTAATTACTCAACATTGATTATTGGTTATAGATTTTAAAATAAAAGGTTGAGAGATGAAAATATAACAAAATATTATTATAGAATTTGATGGGGGACTTAAAAGACAAATAAAATTATTTTTATAAGGAAACTTCAAGATCTTATGATTTGTGATGTTCATAAAAAAATAATGATATTGCAGATTAAATAATAAGTATTATTAAGCAAGTTAAAAATGATGTCTTGGAGAATCAAAAGAAAAAACTCTTATAAATAAAAATAATTAGTGGAACAGTAATGCACAAGTAAAGATTAAATATAAAAAATTTTGTTATAAAAATTGATTTAAAGGTAAAATCTTGGAGATTTGAGAGAATAAAGAAAATATTAAGAGAAAATTTTGGGATGCTAAAAATTCTGTTTTTAGTAGTCTTTATAATAGATTATATATTAAAGAGAGTAAAAGATATATGTAAAAATTAGACAAACAAAGAAATAAAAAATAAAGATATACTCCAAGTAAAACTGTATTAAGGAAAAATATCAAAACATGTTTTTCTTAGTTAAGGAAATTCAATATAGGTGGATGAGTAATTTTGATAATCTTTTAATGAAGATTTTGAATATGATCGGCTTTAATGATCTTAATATCAGTAATCATAATAACTTAGTTTATTTTTATCGGTGCATTAGTGAAACGTGTTTCTTAGATAAAAAGTTGATGAGGCTTTAAGAAAATTAAAGGTGAAAATCAATACGACATATGGTATCCCAATAAAAATGTGAAAATATTTAGGGCATCTAAAAATTTATTGGCTCACTAAAGTTTTCAATATTATTTTAAAAACTGAAAAGATGTTGAAGGAATGGAGGAAGAGTATTTCATTCCTTATTTTTAAGAATAAAGTGGATGCACAAGAGAGCACAAATCATAAAGGAAATAGTTAATATGTCATACATTAAAATTATATGAGAGTGAATGAATATGGGTCAAGACGTGATACAAAGATTTGTCAAAATCAATTTAGATTTACATCTGACAAGTCTACAATGGATGTTATATATTTATTGAAAGATTTGATGGAGAAGTACCGAAAGAGTGGGGAGGATTTACATATGATTTTATTTCATTTAGAAAAAAAATTTATGATAAAGTTCCAACAGAATTTCT